ATCTATCTCTTACCATGCCAGTTCAGTTCTTTCATTGCCGTCATAAAGGAGATGCTGAGCAGACTGGAGTCGGAACACAGGACTAAGCTGGAGCAGCTTCACATGATGCAGGAGCAGCAGAGGTGAGCAGCATCTGTACACGTGCACACACCATCCACTGGGATCCAGGGCAGCTCATGATTGATTTTCCAGAAGAATGAATAGGAAGATTGATGGATTTTTCATTTGCTAATACATGAGGCATTTTAAAATTTTCCAACAGATTAGTAATTTGAAATTGATTAAAATGGGATGTTGTTGAAAATAGAGTGCAAATATGGAATATGATATGATCTTAGTGCTTTATCTACATGAGGAAGACTTTGTTTCTGAGAATATCTGTCGTCAGCATCAGCCATTGGCATTGTCAGCTCTGGTTGTCGAACATTGACAACAAGGATTTAGGTATTTTTGAAATCTGAGAACCCCTAATGTCAGGATTTCTTCCTGTCTCCTCTAGCCCCAGGTGTATATAAGCATGTAGTACTACAGCATTTACCTGTTTATTTTAGAGGAATTTTCAGAATTACTACAGAAAATACTGGCATTCTAAAGACAAAGATGGAAGTTGTTCATTGGAACTGCTATTTTCTTCAAGTCAAAGGTTTACTATGTCATTTGCTCAAGTGTAAACACATGAGTTCAGGTTCCCCCAAGAAGCATCTGAAAATCAGCAAAATTGTATGAATCATGAGCAAGGTCCCCAAATCAAAACTCTTTAGCTTCTGTCCCAGTGTAAGGGAAAAACTTGAGGAGTGAATATTCATACTGTAATAGATAAAACAGCCCTTGTGTCTTTCCTTTGTGTGTTGCAGATGTATCTGAGGCTTGATCCATTAAAGCTGTAAAATTAATGTTTGAAATGGGTTTTAGGTGGAAACAATTTATTTTTGTTGCTGGGCATTGAATGTAGAGCCTTACACATCCTAAACATGAACTTTGCCATGAAGTTATACCTTCAGCCTTAAACAAAATTGTAATATTTAGTATTTATATTGGATGGGCAATGCAGTCCTTTCGTTTTTGCTTTTCCTGGCTAAATCCTTCCTCATACATTCTATACATCTGGTCATATCACAGTGACTACAGTATTTCTTGTTATGTTCTAAACTTAATCATTAGCTCGTATCACATCTTGTCTCTCAGTTACATAATAAAATCCTCGGCAGTAATAACTGGCATCTCTTGATTCCTGGAATACTGGTATATTCACTAGTAAGTCTTTTAAAGTTTTTAATTCTTACATTTTTAAAAATAAGTCTTAATTTTGGTTTTTATGAGTCATGCATGCATGACACGTGGATTTCAGGGACAACGTGTAGGACTTAGTTTCCCCTTCACTATGTGGGTCCCAAGGAATTGAGCTCCGTGTGTCAGGCTTGGCACATACAAGTGCTTTGACCTGCTGAGCCATCTTCCTGGTCTAAATATTTTCTCCAAGGTTTTTTTTTTATATATATATCTATTATATGTATGTATGTGTGCGGATGTCCTTGTAGTCTAGAATTTCTCTGAAACTGGAGTTACTAGTGTGTGGGAGTCATCTGATGTGGGTACTGGCAAGTGAACAGCAGGCCATCTGGAACAGCAGCAAATGCTCTTACTGATTGAGGCATCTCTCCAGCCTCCTGGCCCAAGTCCTAAATGTTGAATTAAAAACAACACCAAAAAAACCGAAAAAAACAAAAACCGATACACAGGTATTTTCAAATTATCTACTTACTTATTTGTTTATTTATTTTGAGAGAGAGAGAGGAGAGAGAGAGAGAGAGAGAGAGAGAGAGAGAGAGAGAGAGAGAGAGAGAGAGAGACTGGGGAGTACATGAGCATAGAGGACAGCTGATGACCGAGTCTCTGTCCCACCTGATCTTGCACCCATTCAGTCCCACTTTATATTAAGTACAAAGTCTGGCAGATGGCTCAGACTTCTTATTGGCTAGCTCTCTCTTAATTATTAACCCATTTCCATTCATCTGTGTATCTCCATGTAGTTTGGCTTACTGGAGAATGCTCATCATCCTATCATCCAGGTAGTTGCATGGTGTCTGCCTGGCTACTTACTCACTTCCTTTTTCTTCCCAGCATTCTCCTAGTCTGGTAGCCCCGATATATTGCCTGCCTGGCTACTGGACAGTCAGCGTTGTATTAAGCCAACAAGAGAAATGTGTATTCACAGCATACAGAAGGACATTGCCCCATCATCTCCTCTTTTCTGTGTAAATAAAAAAAGAAAGGCTTTAACTTCAACATAGTAAAATTATATGTAATAAAACAGTTATCAAGGAATTATAGTTAACAATATTTAGTCCTTTTACATTTGACAAAGTTTGAAGAAAATATCCTATGTTTGTGAGTCTAAATTTTATATGTAACTTCTCTTTTATCATGACTAAGGAAAACTGTATTCATAACTATATGTCTTCAACTCCATCAAATACCACAGAAGGATAATATATAAACTTTAGAAATGACATCTTGCTCCCTGGACAGTCACCCAAAATTCTTTTGTAATGTGGGGCATCCCTCTTCAGCCTGTAGGCCCAGTGTCTGGCAGCTTTTCTGTGAAGCAGGAATCTTGAAGGACCCTCCTGTCTCTTGGCAAGTTCAGCAGTCACTTTTCTTTGTAACCTGCTTATTCAGTTTGGACAGCATGCTGTCAAGCAGTCCAGGCAAGAGCAGTTTCTTGTCCAAATAAATGGACATTCCTGCCATATTGAAGGCAAACTCCATAATGAGTTTCTTTTATGTCCGTCTTCCTCTCTGAAGTAATTGGTGTTGTCAGGAACAGTTGTGTCTCATTGAATCCATATTCTGTAGGTCTTTGAAAAGTTTTGAAGACTATCTAATCATTTGAAATATATCTGTTATATCTAGAAAATCTAACATAACTAAGTTTTGACTATTATAGGTAACTATAATCTGTATTTAATTATACCTTAAATTTTGTTTACTTTTATTTATTTAAATTAGAAACAAGCTTCTTTTACATGTCAATCTCAGTTCACTCGCCCTCCCCTCTTCCCCTACCCCCCACCAATCCCCCTATCCCAACCCCTTTCTGCTCCCCAGGGAAGGTGAGGCTTTCCATGGGGGAATCTTCAAAGTCTGCCATATCATATGGACAGGGCCTAGACCCTCCCCAGTATCCCTCTATGAGGAGAGGGCTCCCAAAGTTTCATTTGTATACTAATGATAAATACTGATCCACTACTAGTGGCCCCATAGATTGTCCAGACTTCCAAACTGACTTCCTTTAGGGGGTCTGGAACAGTCCTATTCTGGTTTCCCAGGTATCAGTCTGGGGACATGAGCAACACCTTTTTCAGGTCAGCTGTTTCTGTGGGTTTCTCCAGTCTGGTCTTGACCCCTTTGCTCATCACTTCTCCCTCTCTGCAACTGGATTCCAGAGTTCAGCTCAGTGTTTAGCTGTGGGTGTCTGCATCTGCTTCCATCAGCTACTGGATGAAGGCTCTAGGGTGGCATATAATGTCGTCATCAATCTCATTATCAGAGAAGGGCATTTAAGGTAGCCTCTCCACTATTGCTTAGATTGTTAGTTGGTGTCAACCTTGTAGATCTCTGGACATTTCCCTAGTGCCATAATTCTCTTTAAACCTATAATGGTTCCCTCTATGATGGTATCTCTTTTGTTGCTCTCCTCTATGCTTCCCATGACTAGATATTCCCATTCCCTCATGTCCTTCTCCTCTTCCCTTCTCTTTCTTCGACTCCCTCTCCCATCCCCCCATGATCCCAATTAGTTTAAGAGATCTTGTCCCTTTCCCCTTCTCTGGGCACCATGTGTATGTTTCTCTTAGGGTTTTCCTTGTTTCCTAGCCTCTCTGGAATTGTGGATTGTAGGCTGTTTCTTCTTTGCTCTAGATCTAAAATCCAGATATGAGTGAGTACATACCATTTTCGTCTTTTTGTGACTGGGTTACCTCACTCAGGATGGTTTCCTCTAGTTCATCCATTTGCCTGCGAATTTCAAGATTCCATTTTTTTTTTCGGCTGAGTAGTATTTCATTGTGTAAATGTACCACATTTTCTCCATCCATTCCTGAGTTGAGGAGCATCTAGGTTGCTTCCAGGTTCTGGCTATTACAAATAATGCTGCTATGAACATAGTTGAACAGACGTCCTTGTTGTATGAATGTACTTCTTTTGGGTATATGCCAAAGAGTGGAATTGTTGGATCTTTAGTTAGACTGGCTCCCATTTTCCAGAGGAGACATCATACTGATTTCCAAAGCGGCTATGTGAGCTGGCACTCCCACCAGCAACGGAGAAGTGTTTCCCTTTCTCCAGCATAAGCTGTCATTGGTGTTGATTGTAGCCATTCTGACAGGTGTGAGGTGGTATCTCAGAGTTGTTTTGATTTGCATTTCCCTGAGTGCTAAGGATGTTGAACACTTCCCTATGTGTCTTTCAGCCATTTTAGATTCTTCTATTGAGAATTGTCTATTTAGTTCTGTACCCCACTTTTTAATTGAATGAGTTGGTGTTTTGGAAACTAGCTTCTTGAGTTCTTTGTATATTTTGGAAGTCAGCCCTCTGTCAGATGTTGGGTTGGTGAAGATCTTTTTCCCATTCTGTGGGCTGCTATTTGTCTTGTTGACTGTGTTCTTTGCCTTATAAAAGCCTCTCAGTTTCAGGAGGTCCCATTTATTAATTGATTTCAGTGTCTGTGTCATTGGTGTTATGTTCAGGAAGCTGTCTACTGTACCAATTTGTTCAAGGGTACCATCTATCTTCTCTTCTAATAGGTTCAGTGTGGCTGGATTTATGTTGAGGTCTTTGATCCATTTGGACTTAAGTTTTGTGCATGGCGATAGACATGGATCTATCTGCAGTCTTCTACATGCTAGCATACAGTTATTCTAGTACCATTTGTTGAGGATGCTTTCTGTTTTCCATTGTGTAATTTTAGTTTCTTTGTCAAAAATCAAGTATGTGTGTGGGTTAATATCAGGGTTTTCAGTTCGATTCCATTGGTCCACTTGTCTATATTTGTGCCAATACTAAGCTGTTTTCAGGACTATAGCTCTATAGTAGAGTTTGAAGTCAGGGATGGTGATGCCTC